CCATGGGGAAGATGGGGATTAAGGGAATTAAGGTTTTGGGGTTTGGAAAGGACAGGTAAAATTTCTTTTATTTGTTTCCTCTGAATTTCTTTAGGAGGGAGGGAGTGAGTGGTGTGTTGTCAATTATCTTCATTTTTCATTAAATCTATCATATCCCTTGAGTGACTAAAACATTTGGATTAAGCCAGAATTGGAATATTATAGATAGATGGATAGATATACTATAAAAGTCATATATCATTATATCTTATTAGAATATATATAAGTGTAATATTATGTTTTTTATATTGAAATCCAAACTCATTGTGGTCTATCCACTTTGTAGGAGAACACTCCAATTCTTCTGTCAATACAACAGAAATCCTCCTACCTGTGTGCTCTGGAAGCACAGTTTCAGGGTAAATATTCCACTGCTTTCTGCTATTTTATTTAGTTAAAACAAAAGTAAAAAACACATTCCTCTTTTTCTGCATTGTTTGGGAAAAACTGGAAAAGTTCAGCTTTGTACTAAAGTCACAGTTTGTACTAAAGACGAATCTATACAGTAGCTAAATTATTACCTTTTTTATGGTGTGCAAATTTCTCTGTACTGTACTGAATATGAAAGCTTTGTAAATCAGACATAATGCACCAATCAACTCCAAGGCTTGGCACACAGCTGTATTATTAATTTCAATGGCCAAGTCATAGGGGCTTTGAACAATAATCTAGTCTTTTTATGCAACAAAACAATGCCAAAGAGTGACATTTACCATGGCAAACTGGAAATAACTGAAATCTTTTAAAAAGGAAAAAAAGGTAGAGAAAGATGCCTGAAAGATACATTCAAAAATGCCATTTCTGAAGGTTTCTTGTATTAATGAAAACAAACCTTAAACCTTCTAGAAATTCATCAGTGTACCCTTGAGAGAGTCATATGGCTTTCACATACAGTATAAATGGGACAGAAAGACACCCGGCTAGCAGGTGTCAGAATCTCTGTGTTAACTTATGGGGAAAACCCAAATGCTTTTGCAGCTATAAGATTTATTTAATTTATGTACATGCTTTCAGTGGTGAGACTTCCATGCATCCACAGTGACATCCTTAGGGGGAAAAAAAACAAGGAGAAGAAAATGAAGCCATCAGTTACTCCTTTTTGCCATTTGCATGGGCCAAAGGCCTTTTCCTCTCCCCCTCTGGCACACCTGCCCTTTGATGCGCAGCAGTCAGGAAGGATGGCAGGCTGGCTGCTCTGAGAACCAGCTGCACAGAACCAGGACAGCACATCTGCACGGAGACAGGCAAGGGAGAAAGAGAGCCTGGATGCATGTAAAAACACCTACCTCTGGTTTGGCTCCTGTGCTTGCCCCTCCTGCTGCTGCTCGTGGTCAGTCTCCTGCTGATTCACTGCCAGAAGCTTGTGCCAATAAAAGGAGCAGCAGGAGTTCTGTGTGAGATCTGCATGCATAGGAGAGCATGTTTAGGTGCTGCTTGTTTGGCAGTATTTAAGGAGTGGAGTTTTTCCATGATAAATAGCACCGTTGCATGAATTCTGAAAGACCAAATTGCACCATGGATCTGGTGAGGTAAAGAGGCATCTAACCTGTTATTAGAATACTTATGAGGAACTTGGTTATTCTTGTTCCCTGAGGCTGTGGCAGATCTTTATCTGTACTGCTACCTGTCTTACAAAGTGCTGTAACTACTATATTTTCAGATAAAAAGGAGGAAGGATCCATCTTTCTCAAAACTTTCTAGCTGTGACTATGATCTCTGCTGCTGAGGGTAGTACAAAAGCTGTTTTGGTCACTGGTTCCACACCAGATGCTTGTTTTCTGAATTGCTGATTGCCTGGGACAATCCTACTTTGTTAGATAATCTTAGAATAAAACCAGAAGTGATTTGAAAGGTGTGAGCCCCACAACATACAAAGAAGAGTTTGCTCTGAATTACCCAGCTTCTGTAGGGATTCTCAGGAACTGAATTTAGTTTGAAAACGTTGTTTAAACTTTGAGTCAAGAGAGGGTGCTAACACTAATTCTTACTATTTCCAAGCCACCTCCATAACTCTGTGAACACAATATATTAGAGACCCCTGCTTAACCACTGAATTAATTGAAGTCATCCTGGGGGGGCTTGATCCTCACTGAAACTGGCCTGGCTTCTTGATGCTGCAAATTCTTTGAAACGTGGGTGCTAATGATATGCTGCCTTGCCTGGGAAAATGAATGGAGTAAGTACTTGTTAGTAAACACAACCTACCTGAGAGACACCACAGAAACAATTCTGCTTTTCCACAGTCTGTGGAAAAGCCAAAAGGTGATTTCTCAATGAAAAGCATCACAGGTCAGCAGGTCTGATACACAACTTAGTGAGAAATATTGAAGACTTTGTTCTATTCCCAGATTACAACATATTTTTGTTTTATAGAATTGCCAGCTGGGAATGATCTGCAACATTTTACCTATATCACCTTGTGGTGGCATATAGGATGGATGATATATTTTCTGATATTGTTGATAGGAACCAAGAGAAGAGCAAAAGATATGTTAGCCCATCTGAAAAGGGAAAAGAGAAGGAAAGTAATGCATATAAACAGAGAATAAACCCCACAAAGCCTAGAAACAGAAACTTCCCAGGATGGGCTGCCCTTACATAGAGAACCAGGGAAGCTGAGACAGTAAGTATTCTGTTTTAAAATGCTGTGTCAAAACTGAGGTCCAGGTGGTCAGGCCTGGAGCTGGACTTAGCATGAGCTCAGTATAGTGTTACAAAATACAGGCTCTGGTCCGTACCATGGAGGGGTTTCTTTGTGTTTGTTGGGTCTGTTGAGTCAGTCCTGTCCAGCAGCAGAGGTGCAAGGGACCTTGCAAGGATGTTGTACAAGAGGTTAACAGTCTTCTGAGGTGTCAGGGTCCCTCTTGTGCAGACACTGGCCATTCCAGGACTGCATTTCTCAGGAATGGGCATTTGGGAGGACTGCTCTGCACACACGACTCCAACAAGCCACAGGCTGCTTTCCTGAGTGTAATGTGGCTCATGGGATTTGTGGCAATATAAATTCTAGTGCTTGGAATTTAAAGAGACAAATGATCTTCTGTGACTTTTATTGAATATGCTGTTCTTAAGCTATCGATATCTAGTTTAAAAAAATTAGTTTACCTTATTAGTGCCCTGGTGAAGGCTCTTATGAAAAATATTTACTTCCCTTCTGGCTCACATAAAACTTTTGAAGTATTGTTGAATTCTGTCAGGAAGTAAGAATCATGTTTCCTTCACAGACTCGATAGGGGACAGTTTGCCTATGCACTATCTTGGCACCCTTTGGAGAAAAAAACCCTTATTCCTATTAAAAAAAAAAAAGTTTTTCAGGATTCTAATCTTCATTTACAAGTATGGCAAAAAGCACTGAAGCAACAGGTTAGTCAGAAGTGAACCTGTGACCATATACATTTGCATGAGTTTCATATCTCATCATAGTTGGGGTGCTTGACTGTTCTTCAGCTGAAGCTCTGACCAAAGTAGTCACTTCAGTGCTTTTCAAGAGGACCTGGGATGTGATGCTGGATTAAATGGTAATTTACTCTCTCTTGGGAAAAGTAAGTGTTGCCTGAAGCTATTGCTCTGCTTTGGAGAGGATGGGCTTTTTGCTTTTTTTCTTTTTTTCTTTTTTTTTTTTCTGTTGGTTTGTTTGTTGGGTTTTTTCTAATACTTTTTCAGATTACCATACTTTTATTTATTTTTGTTAGGAAGAGATTAATTAAACTGCTAAGTTGTTTTATGTACCATCTTAGTGATGATTCAATATTTCTTTCAACAGGTTGTAGTTTATAAATTCCAACAAGCTGGTCAGTAGATGCAGGAGGATGTGAATATCTTAGGATCTTGATGTGAAGAAGATCTTAATGAAATACTGGTGAGGAAGACCTTTTCACCTTTGAGGTGTTACTCACTCTTCCATGTCCTTAGTCCAACATGGTATTTACCACATGCTTGAAGGCCAGGCTGTTGTGAGGATCCCAGTGAGTCTGTCACAGGTAGGTGTTGTGTCTGTGTCTGTCACCTGCCAGCCTAACTTTCTTCTGATAAACAGCTACTGAATGGGCTAGAACTGATGCCAGGAAAAGAACACTACAGCCAGCAATGTTGTACTGCTTTAATGAGACAAGGCTGGAGATAGAATAAGAAATTTGATATGGTTCCTCCACCTCACTGAGAATAAATATGAAAATTATTTGGAAATAGAAGTTCTCAAATGTTAGGCAGAGGGCTTGGATTTAAGATGCATACTTACATGAATATGTTTTAAAACTTTAAAAAAAGTTTGCTTGAAATATATGAAATGTGATTTAAACTATAAAAGGAAATGTATTTTTGAGGTGAATGAAGAAATTTGAAATACACATGCCTTGCTCAAAAAGACTGAGTGTAGTACAGAAATGCCATCGGCATCTTATCCTCGGGGCCATCAGCAATGATTCTCTTCCCAATTAGCATATAAAATTATCAGGGTAGACATGAATCATATTCAGTGGTTGGGCTGGGCTAGAAAGAGAAGATGGAGCCAATGTGATGAAAGCGGCCGGCCTGTTTAATTAAAGAGTGAGAGGCTAATTAGTGGGAGTTCTCATTAAAGGCGTGGCATTTAGGTGCTTCCCTTTTCCTGACAGGCATTTGAGGTGTTCTTGCAGAAGGTTTGGAAAGTATTTTAGTCAAGAGCAGCTTGGGTGGCAAACTAAGTACAATTCTTCTTTATTTTAAGTTTCAGATTTCATGCTCTTTATTTTTTTCACTCCTCCATTTCTTTACTTGTGAAACTTCCTTCCCTTCTCTCTCCCTCCTCTCCTCAACCTGTTTTGCTACTTTCCTTTTTAGGTAACTGGAGGATGTTATTGCAGAAATGACAAAGGAAAATGCTTCTGTGTTGTAACTTGTTCCATCAGTCTCCCGTAGGCTGCTGTTCTCACGTTTACCTCCCTGGGCTGGGTTTCTGAAGACAATAGTTTTATGCTACTAAGTAGAAAGCACTGAGAGGAAACACAGCTTAAGAAAAAGTGATACTTTCACATTAACTATTAACCAGATTCAAACAAGCTCGAGCACACTTCAAGTGAGGGTAACTTGTTGGGCTGTTGAACAAGAAGGAGCACCAGAGTGAAGAATAGGCATGGGGATACTCTATTCAGAGGTACGTGGCCATTTTCTGCAGTTACTGACGCTGTTCAAGGTATGGGTATTCACTGGGCTTGGTTTGTTCCCTTCGCAGCCTCCCATACTCAGGCTTATAGCAATCTGGAAGTTTTTTCCCTTTGGAAATGTTTTCCTTTGTCTATAACAAGCTGTCAGTAGTATTGTTTATAGAAACAAAAAAAAAGTCACTAACCGGCATAATTATCGTGGTTTCACAAAGTATGTGTTCAACGTTTTCTGTTGTTCTGTGTTGAGATCAGAACAATTCTGAACATGGTGCAAGTGACAAACAGCTTTGCAAAAAGCAGACAGCTCCTTGGCTTACACTGAATACAGATAATAAAGTTAATGACTAAGAAAACCTTTCACGCCCCCCATATTGTTTTAGGAAGGTAATTATTTTTTACCTCATCTTTATGGGTTTGTCCCCAAACTACAGTTCATTTAATATTTTCCTGTACTTTAGAATAAATTCTACCTAAACATATTCTGTTCTAAATTTCCCATTTGTACATGTGGGGACAAATGAGGAATTTGGTCCTTTGTGACTGTGAAAAGAGTGCATTGCGCTGTGTTTGTTTTTCTGGAGGTAGCATTACATGGCTGTTGGTTTTAAAGGTTACATTTCTATGCTGAAAGCCACCCTTTTATTTTCAAAAAGCTATTCAGTGAAATCAGGCATCTTCTCCTCTTTCAGTATTACAAGGAACTTGAATCTGTGCATTCATAGGGTGATCAGCTGAAAGGACTGTAGCTTTTTCTGAAAGGATTTCTTGCCTCTCTCCAGATCTGCTACTCTGGGATAGTATTGCAGTGGAAATCAGTGTTGTCTAGCTTAATTACACAGGTTTTTAAAGAATGTTTAAATGCAGTCCATGTTTCTCATGCTTATTAGTTGTTATTTTCATATAAATTCATTTTCTCTCTTTAAACATTTTGAGAAACAGTTTTCCGCGTAAATTATGGTTCATATGGTAAATTATGTAAATTATACAGGATAGAAAGCTAGGGAACTGAAAATAAAGAATTGTAGGTTGCCTTTTCTGAGAAGCAGAACTTACTTAGATATTAGTGTATTCCTTGGCATCCTAAACATAATTTAGACTTTCCTGTTAAGTTCACAGCATGCTGTTTGTATAATTTTAGTGCAAAGGAAGAGACTATGGATTGGTTCAGAATATTTTGACATTGCAAAATGTTTTCCTTTTTTCTAAACAATTGCAAAGACTTGATGTAATTTAGGCAATCCCCTGGAGTTCTAAAGGAGGAAGCAATTGCATATGAAATTGCTCTCCAAGTTGCAAGACAGGCTTTACCTTCACCTCCTCTCTACTGGTTGAATGCTTTGTCCTTCATACTGTGCCTTAAACCTTTGCTTGTGTGGCAGAACTTGCTAAGTAGCTGGAGGTTTATCACTAAGCTCATCAAAGCTGAGCAGAGGGTGATGCAAGAAACTCTGAAAACACCAGACAGGTTCAGATGTGGTGGTTCATCTGGATCTGGGTAAACTACTAGGACCTAGCATCAATCATGTTCCACAATTGATTTTTAAAAAAACAAAAAATTGGTTCTATAACTTCCCTTTCTGATAGTGAAAGTGTTATTGCTTTTCTTGCAACACTTTTTTGGTGATCTTGTACTGAGTGCTCTCAGGCATGAAAACCCTTGCCTGTCCTGTGAGTATTTCTCACCTTCCCTGAAGCCTTCTATACTGGACAAATAAATTCAGGTCTAAAGGGCTTGCAGAAGAAGGAGTATTGGAGAAAGAGAGATTTTAAACACTCAATTATTGGCATATCTAATCTTCAAACTATACTTTCCATTCTCCAGTGTCTGCCCACTGCTTTTTTTTCGGCTGGGCAGACTGTGCTCTAGTTTATGATTAGCCCTGATGCTATGGCTGGGAAAAGGCACCTCTGGAGAGGGTTAAAGGAGTGTTTGGGGTTGTGATTCTGGTTTTTCCTTCCTTTCCATTGTACATTTTGTGCAGAGTGTCACTGTCAGGCTCATCCAGTGCACCGTGTCTGAATGCTGGGTGGTGCTGCAGAAGTGTGAATGAGAGCAGAGCTGAAGGGCTTTGCTGCCAGATCCTCCACAGAGGCCCTCTCCTCCTCTTTGCCTGAGCTGGAGTTGTGGATCCTACTCCCCCTCCCTTCAGAGCTGAGCCCGTGCTGTGTGGGGTGCAGTGTTTGCTGTGCCAGTGCTGGCTCTGCCCTGCTGCTTTATGGGGGTGGGCCAGGTGTGCTGTGAGTTCCCTGGGGCGGCCAGGACCCTGGGGTTTATAAATGATGTGGTGTGGGCAAGAGAAGCCACTTTGTGTCTTGGACTGCAAACCACTCCTCCAGAAGTTGAGAACTCAGTTCACTTGTGCTTTCTTCAGAATTTGTTGTTATGTTCTCCTCTCACACGTCCCTAAAGGAGACTCCCCAGACATGATCACAAGACACGAACTTTGGATTCCTTGGGTATGGCTTGCTCCTGGCAGGTGAAGCTCAGGTATTCTGAGAACTATCCCATAGGTTTATTTCTCTCTTGTGTACGATGAGTGGATAACAATAACATAGCAACAGTAATAACCATAAACAAATTTGAAACTGGCTGTATCACTACTGAGGCAATCTTCTAACACCGTAGAAAACAGAGTGAGATTTTCCAGTCCCTTATCCTCCAGGATAGGTTAAAACCGTCTTAAGCACAGTTAGTCCTCCTTTAGATAGGGTTGCCAGAGTGACAACCCACAAAAGTGAGAGGTGGAAAAGAGTTTTGTGGCTGAGGTTTCACAACCACAGAAATCCTGGTACATGCTCAAGCCCCAGCCTGGGGCCAGGCAGGTTTTGTGTCCAATCTGTTGCCACTGGAAGCTTGTTTTGCTACTTTACTCTGCTTATGAATACAAATCTGTTTCTAATTTTCATGCTAAATTTCTTGGTCAGATGTATTACCTTTTTTACCATGTTCCTTGAAATTAATGGGTCTTCTTTAATACTGACCCTTTATTTTGGAGCACCAAAGACGGTGATGTATCTCCCTAACCCAGCTAAGCAAATCAACCTTGCTTCAGACTCTTCATATTCCTCAGTTGTAGAGATGTTTCATGCTCCTGCCATGGTCTGATCTCATTTTAGGACACAAATGACAAGAACTCTACACACCATCCCAGTAAAATGTCTTCTGTAACACCTCTTTCTGTGAGAGACACTATCTAATATAGCATTTGCCTTTCTTGGACAAGTGGCTGATTGTCACCTATTTGTATTTTTTCTTATCTTTATACTTTCCTAACACATTTTTTTTCTGAATCCTTATTGTTATTGATATCAATATAATGAATTTATAGTTGTTGGTAGTGCTTTGTCCCTTTACTTAAATATTCTGCTACTATGTTTGCTTTTCAAGCCATGGAAAAGACAATTTGAGAGGTATATTACAAGTTTGGTCTGTGAGACTTTTCATCTTTCTTTGACTGAAAGGTATTTTCAAGAATACAAACCAGCAGAATGGGCCTCAAAAAATCCCATACAAATGGGAAAAAATTTGTGTTTCCTTGTTGTCTTTTTTTTTTTTTTAAATATGAACCTAACATGTTAATGCAGACAGTATAATTTTTACAATTTCTCCCCCCATTCTGGGGGAATAATAATGATTCAAAATGCATCTTTACTTTACATCATACTTTAAATACATCACACTTTAAATACATCAGTTTCCCAGGTATTAGTTCCTGGAATGGATGAGAACTGCTTCCTTGCATTCTCTGTGCCCTGGATGTTTTCTGGGAGCAGCTGGTTTCAGTAGGTGAAGGAGCACCTGTGACTCATGTGTGCTGGGCTCTGTGCATGATTTCACCCCAAATAATGAGGTCTCTTAGGGAGTGGTCTCTGTGCCATCATTGTTCATGGCTCTAGAACTGAGTTCAGCAGAAGTGGAAGGTTTAGAAAAAGATCCCACGGATCAATGAGAGCATCAGTCAGAAATGCCTTGGGTTCAACCACCCAGCAAGTACAAGTCTTGGAGGCAGTACAGAAAGAAAAGCAAAAAAGCCATATCCTTGAGCTTCTGAATGAGAAAAACCAGCTTAGGAAGGAGCAAATTTGTATGGTAAATGTCTGGGATTTGGACAGATGTTCAACCAAAGAGCAAATCTCTTGCACCTTTAAATACGCAAACAATATCTAAGGAAAGAGTAGTAGGGAAATCAGAGGTGCAGACAGATTGCACAGGATCTTCTCTCTCCTGGACATGAAGATAGAGTACTAGACACCCACATGACAGAGAGCAGGGTTCTAGAGAAAACTGATCTTTTAGATGGCACCTGTGTGCAAATCACACCAAAAGGGGTTTGAAAGAGGCTTTTCTCCTCAAAATCATTAAAGCAGTTCTGGTTCTGGTTCAATGCAAAGTGCCAAATTGTATATGTATGCTTCTGTACAAATACAGACAGATGTGCAAGTTTAAAATATGGCATGTGTTCTTTGTAGATTTTTGACTCATAGAATAAAAACAAAACAAGAAGTGGTGCAAGGTCTGGTAAACATGTAAATACTTTCTTTGGAAACAAATCACTTCTCTTATGCAGCTGTCCAGAAAACTAAGCAGTAATTATGCTGGAGATAAACCTGTTTTCTAAATCAAAGTTTGGCTGAAAATGTGTAAATAAGATAATATTTTTAAGGCAGGAAGGTGTAGGAGTAGAGGGGAGGACAGAGAGAAGGGAACAATCTGGAGGAGTGAGGAAAGAGCTCAGAGATCAGGCCTAGATCTTTTTCATATAGAATATTTAGGATGTGAAAAAAAAAAGAGTGAAGAGGAAAAATTACAGCTAATATTTAAAGAAAATGTCTGTTTTGGAAAATGTTGGGTAAAATCTTCAGTACTAAAGAAAAGAAAGACTTATTCTGTTTTGTCTGGAGAATTCAAATGCTACCAGGCTGCCTCACCTCTAAATGTTGGTTTCTGCCTGTATTAGGCTGTTAGAAACCTGCAGTACTCCTGCCCTTCTCAGCTTCTCCTTAGTCTGAATTCTTGCTACTGGAGAGGGAAGGAATTGCAGTTTAGGTCAAGGATGTGTAGAAATATTGAGTGAAAAGCTGACCAGAAAGCAGTTCTCAAAAAAAAAAAGGCCAAGCAGGATCTGACCGTGGGCATGCACTGGCATGGTTTTTTTTAGGTATTTCAAGGTCTAGAAAAGAAACATTGGTGGGGCTTGGTTTTTCAGCTCTCACCTGAAGTGTGGTTCTCTTCTGGGAATGGATGAGTCAGGAGTGGCTCATTCTGCTCAGCCAGAGGTAAAGCCTGAGGTGAACTCAGGCACAGGGGCTTGTCCCTGCTTGCTGCTTACTACAGTGACCAACTCCCGCCAGAATGGAAGCTGGTTTGGGGTTTTTTGCTAATGACTGCAAATAAACAGGACTTATTTCCTGGATTATAGAAATAGCATTCAAAATGAACAGAAAATCCATTCCACTGTGCAAAGGCTGTGACTTTGGGGCTGGGAGCTGTGTAGAGCTGCAGGAGCATCTCCTACCACCATCTTCTGGAAGGCACCAAGAACTACAGCCTCTGTCAAGTGTTTTGGGGTGTGTGAGGAGTCAGCCAGAAGGGCAAGTATGGATGTCTTAGTGAAGCATGTGCTGATGAATATTATCTTCTCACTTCAGCCCATCTGTCAGGCAGCTTATAACAACGATTTCAACAAAGTTCATCTCCTTTTGGAGAGCAACAGCAACTATTTGAATGTCCAGGACAGCTTCCTTGGAGACACCCCCTTAATTTGTGCATGTAGAAAAGGAAACAACAGGATAGTTAACTATCTTCTTAGGAAACATGCTGATGTCAACCTCAGAAATAAGGTAAGTGGCCACTGACTCTCCTTTGTGGGGCTGTTCTTTCAGATTCTGGGAGTGCCAGTGGGGACACTGGAAAGCACAGACAAACCTCAAGTTTGTTTCCTACTGAGGATATGTGGAGAAACAGGTGGAACTAAAAGTTTTCACTGCTTTTTTTGGAGTCCTGTGTCCAGCTCCATTTTGACAACCAGTAACAAATTTAACACTGTAGCACAAAACTTTGCAGACTGCTTTGGTATTCAGTATTCAAAGATTTTTTTAAAGCTCTGTTCTCAGTAGGAGTCTGTGGTGGTCTTTGCTGCTTTCCTGTTTTTCCCTGATGTCCCAAAAGCGATGTCCTAAGGTCTCACATATCCTTGCTTCAGTAGCCAGCACCTCCATAACAAGGGGGGCTGTGGTGATTCCTCCTGCTGATTTACCTTGCTGTGTGGCAGCAACAGCCACATACCCACTCTATCCTTTGCATTTCTGTAGCCAGGTCCAAGTTTACCAACACACACATGGAATCCTTTGGATCCCACATCATCCTTGCATGTGTAGTCCAATTTCCATGTCCCTCTATGTGCTAAATGTGCTTCTACTTGAATGAAGCAAGATGCATGTGTCTATTTCTGCTTGAAAATCACAGGAGATTTCCTATTAGACAGTCTAAAAGAATGCTTGTGGAATTTAAAATGGTCTACCCTAGTCAATATTAACCAAAGTGGGTTCACTGAATCTGGTACTAATCAGAGTTGCTTTGTGTTTAGAAGGACTGCACTTGCCTGCACTATGCTGTGAGGAAACGGTTCACCTTCCTTGACTATGTGCTCATCATAATCCTCATGCCAGTTATGCTTATTGGGTACCTTCTCATGGTGAGTCTGGATGGAAGCAAGAATGACCCTCTACCTTTCCCTTGCCATTTTTCCTGGCAGTGTTTCAGGCCAGGAACCTCTACAGAATATGGGCTGCTTTCTTAAAGTAAGACTGAGTGTGTTCAACAGAAGGGATTTTGCTGTGGCTGTAACTGGTGAAGGAACAGATTTGTATTACTGCATCAGTCTGACATTCCCAGAGACCATGCCTCTTTTCTGGGAAAAAACCCCATGGTATTTAGCACAAATATACTTAAGGCTACATGCAGATTAACTGTTTCACTGTGTTACTCTTTCCCTTGCACCAAACAGGTCTCAAAGACAAAACAGAATGAACACCTGGTCAAGATGTTGCTTAGAGCTGGAGTCGATGTGAATGCTACAGACTCTGTAAGTGGCTTTATACAGATGCAAATGTGGCTCACAGGAAGGAAACAATACTAAAAACAGACTACAGAACCTTCTAGCAGCATAGCTGGAGTAGGAGCATCAGGGACTGAACTGACTGATGTACCAGGAGGATTCAATGTTTCTGCTTGACACTCAGGCAACAGATTTATAGTGTATACAGAAATAATTCCCCACTGATCAACTAATCCTCCCTTTCTGAATAATGCCCTCATAAGAGCATCCAGGCAAGCTGGGCTCAGGTACTTATGTATTAAATACCCCTGTATTCTAGTAAAGATTCTAGTAATAATCTGTAAAGATTCTAGTGATATAAGCATCTGAGTTTACCAGCATTTATTTTGAACTGGAACAGGGTTGTGGGCTACAGGGCAAGACACTGTGTCTTCTCTTAGTCTTCAGAGTGTGCTGATCTGTGTATCCATGCTGATCTATGTATCCATGTATCTATGTCTATACAGAGCTGTGTATCCACTATCCTACTTGGGTGAGGTAAAGAGCTCCTCTTCTCTAAGGTGGAGAAGGAGAAACACTAATTTTATCAGCAATGAAATTCTAAACCAGTGAAGTGCAAGCAAACAGTATTGTTTAAGATGTAGTTTCTGAGGTCAAGCTCATGTGATCCTCTGAAGTTACTGGTTTCCTGCTAATGCATCAAGCCTGTTTTAGCAGTTGCATCCCAGGGAAGGAATTAATTTTTTTGATCCTGTTTTTCTCATGGCAATGTGGTTTTCTTACCTTTTAGTGTATTGTGACAGGAAATGGTATGTGTGTTTTGCATCCAGCTGTTAGGAGGAATCTGATAGCCTACAGGTAGTCCTACTTACCTAAGCTCTACTAAAGAAGTAATAGAAATAAAATTAATTTGCTTCCATTTCCCTTCAGTCTGGCAGCACAGCCCTTCACTATGCTTGTGAAATGAAAAACCAGGCAGTCATTCCTTTACTGCTTGAAGCTCATGCAGACACTTCTGTAAAGAATCAGGTAAGAAGGTGAAGTTGATAAATGTATTTGCTTATCATGGTGGTCAGCCAGTAGGTGCATTGTAGGCCTTAGCTGGTGCACAGCAGTTTAAAGAAAAGGGTGCACATCTTCCTGGCAGCCAATTTGTTTCCTGTTTTCTTCTTAGCTCAGAGCTACTTTATAGTTGTTCCTAAGATGTAGGCTGCAGGGCAAGGATAGAAGTCTTCCTAGGTAGTTTTTGTGCTGTTGAGCACCCTTCTTCTGGGAGGCTAAGTCAATCTGCTTCTGTCACCAGAACAGCTCAAGTGTTGCCCAAATCAGTACTGACCTGGGAGTATCTGCACTACTGAGTTAAGGTGAGCAGTGTATTACCTATGTTGCTCTTGAAATCAAATCTTAGGCGGGCTCCATACATTTGGATATTACTCCCAGGGAACAGTGGAAAGGCTTTCCCTGCTGTAGGGGAGGTCTCTATTCCTTTCTTCAGCCAGAGCAGGATAGGCCCAGCATGTCCTGAAACCTTTATTTTAGAGCAGAAGTGACAGGAGACCTGACACAGGTGGCAAAGTTAGGAAATCCTTTGTACGTGACCCATATCTGTCGTATTGCAATGTATTTCATGTGTTTCTTTCAGGATGGGGAGACTCCCTTAGATATAGCAAGAAGATTACAGTTCCACAGCATTGAAAGCATGATAAGAAAAGATTCTTAGCCATCAAGAACTCTCAAACATGTAGAAAATTACCTCATCTGAAAACCCACCTTTCACAACAGCAGAAGTGCTGCAGAGGATGGGGGCTGATACTTGATAAAGACTCAGTCCACATCCACCCATTCCTTGCTGCAGACTTGGACAATTTTGTGTGAGATTTATGAGTACCCCAAGGCCATGAAGTTCATTTTATTTTACTAAGCCATGAATTACTACAATAGTGTTCAAAATATTGTCCTTTCCATCTGCTTCATCAGTTTTATTACTTGACTTCTGCAGCCTGTGGATTTTGAAAGCTAGCTATAAAATATCTGGAAGCCTAAACATTGCATATGATGGTTGGCAGCCACTGCAAAAATAAAATATCCTTTAGAGTGTGTGCTCCTTGTTCCATAGGGAAACTAAACAATATGCTACAGCAGTTATAAAAGGTCTGGTACCCTTCTTCTTAGTATTTATCTTCCTACAATGGGAGGGGCTGGGAAAACAGATCTCTCAGTTGAGCCCTTCCTCCTTCCATCCTTCCTAGAATTTTCACACACCTTAATTCTCCCTGCGTTGCTACAATGGTAGGACTTAGGTTTCATCTGAGAAACAGCAAAAAGAGATTCAATGCCTTGCTGGATTAAGAAAGAAAGTCAATTCCCAGATCACTTTAATGCATTAAGAAATAGTAAAGAAAATATGTTTGGCTCAGTAGAGAAACAGGTCTCTTGACTACCTTTCCAATATAAACAGCATACTAAAGAAAAAAAAAGAGTCAATAAATGAAATGCTGTTGATGGAAACCAGATGTATCATTCCCATGGGACTAGGCAGGATAGCCTGCTGTGCAGAGTGGTGCAGGCAGCAGGGGATAATACCAATCATAATAATAATATATCCACGAGTCTTCTCTTGCATAAGTGAAGGCAGAAGAAAACCTGCAGTAATAAGCAATGTATTAAAGTGGTCCAGTGCTTTGTGATTTAATAATGCAGCAATAAAGGGGAAGCTCCTTTCATACACTGCTGTGTTGTACCTCCTTGGTCTAATGGATCTTTATTTTTGTTGACAATTTTGGCCTTTTGCTATAAGCTGTCAGAAGTGCAGTACATTGCTAATGGGTGCCACAGCAGGCGTGTGGACAAGCTAGTGTACTTTTCCTGTGTTGCAAAGGCAGATACATTTTCAGTGTAATTATTGTATTGGATGTCAACTCCAACTACAAGGGGTCTTGGCTGGACAAGATGAGCTTGAGGCTGCAGCCAGAAACACTCCATGAAATAAAGCTCCTGTTGGAGCCTGTAATAATGAACATTTTGTCTGCAGTCTGGGGACAGACACTCCAGAGCAGCTTGTAGGTGAGAAGAGGGGAGGCACTTGCATGGATTGTGAAGACACCATCACTTAGGGCTGATGGCTGGCAGGGGAAAACATCCAACTGCTTTGCCATGTTTCAGGAACTGCTTGAATGAAGAATGGCCCAGACACAGAGCTGTGTAAAACTGAATGCTGAGACAGCTGAGAGTGCTGGCAACAGCTTCACTGCCAGTGTGAAAATAATTCATAGGGTGGAAGCTGTATTGCCCGGAGTGCACCTTGCTGGATGAGTCTACATCTCATTCCACAGCTGCTATCTGTGGTCTTTGAAACTGTGAGGGGCTCGGGGTGTGCGAACAAACATTCATGTGATTTGTAGGCATGGGGGGCAGAGGAATACTTCAGTAAATTTTTTTGAGGTTGGATTCCTTGATATTTTTTAGTCATCTATTATCTGCTCAGTTCCTTGTGCTTGAAGATCTCTTGGTTGCGTTGACATTAAGGGGTAATTTGAGGAGGGAAAACAAAAAAAGACAGGTTCTCTGTCAAGAGGATCAATAATTTAATTTAAACAAAATTGTTCATTTCAACGAAGAAATGATCAAATCACACTTTTGGGTCTCCCTTGGAAGACAAAAATCTGAAAAAAACCCAGAATTTGGGCTTAGGAAAATTAGTCTTGTAGAAATAAAAACTTTTGAAATATAGTGATCCCTGCAATATGTACTCCAATATATTCAATGTTGTCAGCTTTCATTCTTATATACCTTGGACTTCTCAGGAAAACAGCAACACCATGTCACAGTCACAGTAACACCATGGGAAAACTCAAATTATGAGGAAAGCAAGAAATAAATAAGAACAAATAAATACCTATAGAAGTATCCATCATGTGTGCCTGTGTGATTACCTGTTCCCCAGATACCACCCTTATTGCCAAATAGAAATTTTGGAGGTTATAATCAAGACTCTGCTCATGGTTTCAAAAATATTTTCTTAATAATTCAATGATTTTCAGATACATTTTCTCAGCTGCATCAAGGCCCCAGATGAAATCAAGATGTCCCCATGCAGGAAAATGCTCATGGTAAATGAGATTAGTGATCCGAGGAAGAAGCCTTGCCATGTCTGTTGGGTCTGCAAACGTGTCCTGTCCTCCACTCCAAACAGCAGTTGGTGTCTTTATCTCCTCTATCTTGTACTCAGGAGGAGCAGTCTGTAAGACAGGGAGGAGACCTGAGTGAATGCTGCTGTATCAAAGTTGTGTTTGAGAAAGGTTTCTGTGCAAGCACCTCTCTTTGTCTTTTGCTTCTGCAGTAAAACCATAAGGATGAAGGTCACCCTCTTACTGCTCATTGCCCTAACCCCATTCCCTGTCTATGGAATGACCCATATTCTATTCCTCTTCTCCCTATAAAGCATGGCTAAGGGTTGTCCTGCAGTTTGGTCCTGCTTGTGCTCTTCAGAGCTGTGGGCATGGAGAGAATTGTCAGTATTCATCAGTCAAGGACTCTGGAGATTTTTCCTGTGCTTATTCAGGGTGAGGTGATCTATAAGTTTTTTGGAGTGCACAGAGTGTGACTTCTGGTCTTAGTTTTCATGCTTGGAACTGAACTGGAAAGGAAATAATTTGGTCATTTGTTATTTCCCCCTAGAAAATTTCTGAGTGTGCAAGATAGAAGTGACTGATTGTAGCTCTGGGGCCTCTCTGTTTGTGAAAATCAGCATTTTGGTACAGCACTGGACAGTGCAAGTCAAATGTGCTGGTTAATAGTGAAATTGTTGCCAGTCCACTGGGGAGGTCACTGTGATATCTGTTTCCTCTCTTAAATGAAAGGCAGGTCTCGCAGACATCTTTTTGTGAAAATCTTTTCTTAAGATTGTTTCTCTTCTGAGAAGCTGAGGCCTCAGAAACGGAATGCAAACAATGGTTATCTGCTGCTGTGGAATGCAACAGGTGGATCCGTGATTGGTCTCCTGTAGATGTTTAGATTTACTGACCAGTCACAGCAGAGCTGGCTCTCTCTCTGTCCAAGCCACAGGTCTTTGTTATTCATTCTTTTCTTTTCTATTCTTAGCTAGCCTTCTGAGAGATGAAACCTTTCCTTCTATTTCTTTTTAGTATAGTTATAATGTAATATATATCATAAAATAATAAATCAAGCCTTCTGAACATAGAGTCAACATTCTCGCCTCTTGCCTCATCCAAGAACCCCTGTGAACACTGTCACAGGCAGGCTTTGAGGATTTTTGAGCAAGTGAAGAGCTCTGTACTCACCCCGTCCTAGGACTTGGGTGTGGTTCTTATTCATTTTTGGAATGACATGTGAGTTGACATGTCATTGAGCATATCCCAGCATCAGCAGGGAAGACAAAATAAACTTCTGTTAATTGTCTGTAAAGGTCTATCTCTGCCTTGTTTGTGAATAAATTTTTACACTTGTGTGTGATTCAGCTGAAACATTATCTGAGACCACTCTCCCCCTTGTTAATACTCACAGGTGCTAAAATTTGAAATTTTCTATTACTAGTTTTACCAACACTCAAGGGTAAGTTCTGAGTTTTGCCATTTTGCCTTACCTGGTTGTATTTCTTCATGTTTTCCTTTGAGCCATAGTCATAAGCTTGAAACCGGTCTGTATGTGCTAGCTGTTAAAAGGACAGACAAAATAAAAGGCATGAGAGGTGAAGGAGTAGAGTGCAGGAGGCATATTCCTGCCTGTGAGTTAGGTCAAGGCTCAGGTAGTGGACTGTTTTATTCCCACACTTCCCTCTGGTTGCAGGCTTCCAGGATGCTGAGGATAGATCACAGGGTAAGTGGCATCCTTGCCTTTTCCCTTGCTAACTTTCTGTCCAGATCCTTATCTTCCACCCTCAGTATGTTTTGTTACTTAAAATTTTGGTTTGCTACCTTAGATAACTAAAGTTGGGGTCACTGTTTGTCATGCAGAATTGGGGCCAGTTTTCACATGGAAAGAGAACCTGAGTGTCTATAATGTGTCAGGGCCATTACAAGTCTTGTGTAATATGCCTTGCAGGGCTGGTGAGTGAATACCTGGAGTTGTTTGTTTTGGTAATTTCATTTTTTGCACAAACATGACAAGCAATTTCACTTGTGAGTGTTCTGTAATAAAGGGTGAGAGAAACCTAGTTTAGAAAACCTTTGCTTCCAGGATTTAAGTAGCTGAGTATGTGCTAAAAATCTGCCTGATGCATTGTCTTTGCTGTTGTATCTTCCTGTATCTGTGTTTGCTTTGCATCCACTTGATTTTGTTTGAGGTTGGCAAAATAAACCACAGAGTCACTAGCTGCTCATGGTTTGTGTCCATTTCCTGGCTAGCTATATCCTGTGGGACTGACTGTTGGGAATCTTTGTCTTCAGGAGCACATCTATATTCCAGACCATATTAAATGTGCAGGTGCTCATGGCAGTAGGTGAGAAGGTATGATGGTCAGTTTCCCAAATCCAAAGCCTCTGGATTTCCCTGTAGGCTTTCAGTTGCATAAAAAGCAGTAGTGGGAGGTTGTTTACATGTCAGTGCACAATTGTACCTGTCGCCAGTGAAAAATGTTGTGTACCGATGTCCCAGCTGGGGAATGTCCTACGTACGTATCTACTCGACTCTGGAGAGAAAGCAGACATTTTATAAAGACAGAGATCCAGTGCTGTGAAGAAAGTGAGTTTCTATTAAAGAAGTCAGTTTCTATTAAAGAAGTCAGTTTCTATTACAAAACATTTTTCATAGTTCTGTTAGGGAAATGTTCCAGTTCCATCTCCCTGGATTCTCCTTCAGCTGTGTTATCTTGCTCTGAGAACCACGTTAGTGACTTAAGCAAGGCAGGAAATATCCTTCATGGTTTAGCTCTGCCATTCAAAAGCTGCAATTGATTTTGCATTGAGCCTTTGAGTCTAACTGCTTTCCCATATGTGCTTTTAAAAAGGATTATAGACAAAAGAATGGGCCCAGTTGTTTCAGACACTGCAGTAATAAACATTATACAGGCCAGCTTCTGCATACTTTGGCCACTGTAAAGGGGATTGGCCCCACAGCATCCATATATTGGCAAGCAGAGGGAAAACTCTGCTGTCTCTCCTGTCCCCTCTGACTGATGCACAAGTGTTTGTGAATCCCACTGTAGGTGTGCTGCACTCCTCAGCACAGTGGAAGGGCTTTCTGTAGCTCTGCTCCTTGTGGATGGAGCTGTTGGGCCCAGTTCTAAGGTCAACAAAACCAGGAAAATGTCCCTTACAGTAGTTCTTTGGGACCAAGTTTTGGTGCAAATAGTCCAAAAAATTGGGAAGAAGAATAGGTTTTTCTCCTGTCTTTTAGCTATTTCAGTGTTCAGAGGACCCCAGTGTCTATATGCTAAAGAAAGAAACTGTCAACTGTATTGGCAAGAAGTCTGACCCATCACTCTTTGTCTCTTTTTAAAGATCATCTGTGTGTGACAAAAATCTGGTTGGCTTAGCCCCAAAGAGGGTACATCCTGACATATGCAATACAGCTCCACCTGAAGTCAGCTCTTTCTCTCTGCCACTGGAATGTGCCCAGCTGTTGGTCCCACCCATCACCAGCCCTATCCATCCACTGCTGACAGTCCTGGCATTCCCTCAGTCTGCTGAGAGCTACATTGTGATCAATGTACATTTACATGCATGACAGTAACCAGACAAGGATATAGTGCACAAATGCAACTGCCACAATCCCTTCTGTTTTGCTCTGAGTAGGTGTTCTTGCACATACTTACCGTGTTGATATTTTTTACACTGCCTCCAGCTATGTAACAGAGAACATGGGCACAGAACTTATCCAGGCTTGTACAGAGCTGTGTCACGGGTCCTTTCAGAAACTCGATCTGGTGGGCAGCTCCTTTGCAGCCAAATATTAACTGAGGGAAAGGAAAAGTGCAACGCCTTTTTTTCTTGTTACAGAAGAATTTTATGCAGAAAATTGTTGCTAATAATTGTTGCCTAGCCTTCATAACGCAGTATTCAAAGAGTGCTGGAACAGCTTACCCTCACAGTACCCCTTAAAACACCCTCTTCCCCATGGCACATCATTTATTCTTCCTCCTTCATATTACTATCAGCAATCCTCAAGCAAGCTGTCCTTCCATTTCTAGTGGGCTGACCCTAATTCCTACTCATTTTTGTAAGTCCTACAGATTGTCATGTCTGTCACTGCAGTTCTGGTTTAACTCCTCCTGCATGAGGCCAGCAAAATTTTAGTTAAACAGAAGGAATCCTAGAACAGAATTTCACAAGTCTCCTACTTCATTGGGAGCTGCTGATACAAGCTCTATATCATAACTATTTTCACCACAGGGTTTGGGAATGGTTTTTTCAAGAGCACTCAATTCATCCCCAGCTCAGTGTCAGCATTGTCACTTGTTTGGGAGCACTCGACCTCAGGCTGAGGCCACCCTGTGAAGATCAGTCAGGCATTGGACCTCTTAGAAGGAAAATGTGACATACCCTGAGCAGTGGTTCAGGAAGATTTATTATCTTAATCAGAGGGCTTGTAGCATGTGGGCATGCAGTTACTGGGCCCAGAGCAAAGAACACTTTCACCCGTTTAGCCAGCTCAGGGTACATATAGAATGCTATGAAGCCTGCAAACACAGAAGAGACAGCCTGGGTTAGTGAAGATATCCTCCACAGACAAATTAAATACGTGAACAGTAGATAGAAAACAAGACATCATAGCAGATTTGCAGCCCAGTCTGTTGTTGTGTTTGTGACGCATGTTTTACTAAAGGAAAGTGTTGAACTGAAATCCTGAAACTAATTTTATTTGGGAGGCAAAGTTAATTTTAAGGTTTAAAGCATGTCTGGGCATTGTCTTTATCAGAACTCTTCAAAACTCTTTTTTAAGGTTTTGAAGGTATCATAAATTCCCTCTAAAGTTCATGAAACTGTCATTAAAAAGAGTTTTTCAAATTAGAGTCTCTAAAGATCTATGCATGTTTATGCTTTCATGAAACTATAGAATAATTAACTGAATACTGGGAGCTTTGAGTATTTTCAACTGTGCTTGCATCACAGGCAGATGAAGAAAGCCTAGATGCCTGGTTTGTTTGCCATGGGGGTCCTTAAATACTCTTATGAGAAGCAGGAAAAAGAAAAGGTCCGAATTTGTGACAATATATAATTTTTCCATACTTCCTTCTCTATTTTTCTGGGTTGTTTACACTAATAACTGGCAGTGGCTCCTTTCTAATCAATGTCCATTCGTGGATCTTACACATAAACCATACCCATCAAGGACTTTCAACTGATGCCAAAAAAAAGTTAGTTGCATTTAGAGGCCATGAAATGAATAATGACAAAGGCTGGACCTAAGAGAAAATAAACTATTAATGTTTCTACTTTCCTGATTTTTGTTCTCTGACACTATGTTTTTAAACAGCAAAGTGGTCAGTTATAGCCTGTCATTAAGTACAACTTAAATTGTAAGATAGAAACTAAGTCATGACTTAGTGATGTTGAGGTTATTTTTCCTTGCCTTCAAGCAATTTAATTTAAATAAATGTATTCATGTAAATGATGTATTATATGGGCTGTTTTATCTTTTCAGTTTTTCCATCCTGTTCACAAGAACAGCGTCCCCAGGGCAGTGGTCACAGCACCAATTCTGCCAGAGTTCAAGAAGTGTTTGAACAATGCCCTTAGGCCCATGGTGTGAATGTTGGGGCTGGCCTGGGCAGGGCCAGGAGTTGGACTTCAGTGATCCTATGTCCCTTCCAGCTCAAGATATTCTATGATTCTAATTGTCTGCCTTAATACAAAACAACTTCATGTAAATTCCTGTTGCTGAGAAAAATACCCCATAGCACTACAAGAAGTACCCAGTAAATGACTGTTATTATGTCTGTAATTATTTAAAAAGTTGAACTATCACTGCATCTTCTATTAAGTTTATTTGCTTCTTAAGGGTAACCAAAGCTAATTTTAGAAAAGTTTTGCATATTTTCCAAATCTCAACACAGAAAAATCTCTATGTTTTTCTAACTCTCTACAAACAAGAAAAGCAACAGAATTAGTGGGGTGAGTCATCTACTGATCAAATAGGAAAACAAATGGTTGTCAATAATTCTCCTGACATTACCTGCAGTTGACCCTTCAGAGTGACCAATATAGTAAACATCCTTCTGTCCAGTTTTATTCATGATGAAGTTCAGCTCTGCTGGAATATCATATTTACCCATTTCATTGAAGCTGTGGGGAGAAACACAAAAATCTGGCAGACAATTTGACTATCACAGTGTTGTCAGTTTTGTTACTGACTGTGAGTTTTGTTCATTGCACCGAGCAGGAGCCACTGGAGGAGGAGGTTGCACACAGTGTCTGCATCCTTGCCTGACTGGGGAAGTGGGCAGAGGGTGCAGCTGTGCAGCCTGGCTGCCTGGTGCCCTGGGCTCTGTGTGCATGAGGTGCCAGCTTCACCTGACAGCTGCAGCCTTGGGGAACTGAATTTAATCAGGGCTTTCACCTGCATAAGTTACCAAACATATTTCCCTCTTGGCTGAATTCAGCTGTGAGATCAGATTTCTAGACAAGGCTGCTCAGCACGTTCCAGATGAGGTTCTTGTTCTCCCTCTCACAGTACAGTCTCCCTTTTCCTCAGGATCCCGTTTCATTTCCCAGTCTCTGAAATCTCTTCCCCAGCCAATGCTCCCAACTCTGGGTAGTAGTGAGCATCCATCTTTGTCTGGTTCTTTGCTCTCCTGGGTTGCTGTAGATCCTGATCTGATGCTGGTTTAGGTAAAGGCCATCGGGCTGAAGCTATCTAGTCCCCTTGGAGTTTCTATGTTGAGTCTTTGTCTCTCAACTGAGTACCTGAACTGCCAGAACTCCTTCTGGCAGGGCTTAAGGGTCTTGTGTTTTAAAGACCAGGTGTTCCCTCTGCTGTTTCCCAACCAGACATCATAGCCAGCATCTGCAAGCACGAAGCCCAAGCTGTTGTTGGGCAGGTTGGAAATCCAATGAGTAGCATCTCCTAGAAAAGCATGTTGCAGGAACACTGCAGGCCTTTGCCCTGAAAAAGATTAAAAAATACTTTTATTGGAACAGCAATTAATGTGTATTTAATATTGGAGTGCAGAGTTCAGTTTGTGAGAGGTTTCCATCTTCTAGAAGCTCCCAGGAGAACTATACATAGATATTGGTTTGAGAAACCTGAAGGATTTTTTCTATGCAAGCAGGAACCTATTAATGACATTTCATAACCTTTTTACGACAGGTGTGGCAAATAATGAATTTACTGAGGATGCTTGTCCTACTTCCTCTTGCACTGGAAAGGCAGCTTACAGCCCCTATGCTGAAACCATCTACCCAAAGGTGAAAATTGCTCGAGGCACAACAGTGTAAGAAAGAGAAAGAAAAATTAATCCAAAGAAGGATTAATTAATCCAGGCAGCAGACAAAGAACGTAATGTTACAACTTACTTTATAAGTTTTTTGACCAATCACACAAAGCAAAAGCATATTGACAGTAGTTTTATCTAATTACTATAAGCACAAGTACCTTTGGTTAAAACAATGCTTGCTTATTTTGAATACAATACTTGCTTGTAAGCCTTAAAACAGAATACACAGAGCTCCATTATTAAGCTTAGAACTTCCTAATATTCTAGACAAGCGTTAATACACAGACCATTGTTCTATTTGTCCTTTTCTACTTCTTATATAATTTTTCTGCTGACCTATCTCATGGCTACTGCATAGCTCTAATCATAGTTCTGCTGTCTCTGATGCCTGCCTTTTGCAGCTTTCCCAAAACCCTCTGATTTTATGGATTCCCGCAAGTAGCCACTGAGCAGGGAGAGGCCCCTGATCTAACTTGGCTAGCCTTATGTTGAGAGTCAGGCTGGTCCAAATTACCTCCAAAGGAGATGCAGTTAGGGGAAGGCATCCAAATAAATTATTCTATAATACTAACAAGGACTAATAATCAAGGTAACAGTACCCAGAGTACCTCAAATTCCAGCTAGGAATTTTTATTCAATTCAGAAAATGTGATGAAATGGATGAAATGCATTTGCTTTTCACTGACAACCTGATTTCTTTCCTCCTTCCTTAAGAGTATCTCTGTCCTTCAGAAGCCTGGGAATTATTCATATGCCTAACCTCAGAGGCTCTGTTGTCAGGCTACTATTTTATATGTGAATGATTTACATTGTTAAGGCAAAACCTCCCCAAAACCTGTTTACCGACCTACCGGCCAGATCATTTGAAGGGAAAAAACCTCCAACCCTTGGATGTAATAAAATTATTAGGGAAGTCTGAAATAAGGACAGAGACACTGAATGTGTGGACTTCAGATGGATTCAGGATTTAAGTCACACTTCTGACTAGGTGCCCTTGTGGAGATGGAAAGGTATGGAACACGCCATTGCACATGAAAAGGGGAAAGATGGGGAATCCGTGTAAGAGTTGGCTCCTCTCAGACCTTCCATATGTCTGTAACTGTCACACCTGTATTCCGTGTGGAATTCCTCCCAGCAGGAATTCTGTAAACACCAAGAATGTATCCATCCTCTGTTGTAACTTCATATTCCTCGCTGGGGTATCCATGATACCTGATAATTTCACTCTGTGGAAAGCCAGAGGAGAGTTTGTTAATTTGCCAGTTGTCCTGTTCTAGAGCCTAACTAAAATGAGAAGTGCAGATGTGGGTTGTGCTCTGATGGTAGTGCAAGGCCCCAGCCACAGAGACCATGGCTGAGAATAAACATTACAGATCTTGTTAAAAGATGAAGCAAAGTCCTCTTCAGACCCGTTTTAGATGGTGGTTGTCTGGTATTTAGCCCTCTGATACAGGACAAAGCAGAACTGTGCTGAGTGACCAGCTCCCTCCTGAGAAGTAGTTTGTCATGTTATGCAAAGCTTATACAATTGTACCTTTCTGCAGATTAAATATGCAGCTATATCTGTATAAGACAATGCCAATGGCTGTGGGGATGGTCCATAACAAATCCCTATTTGGAAAATTGTGGTTTGGCAAGTCATACAGGCAAAGCAAACAAGGGTGGAGATCTTGTCAAAGGAACTAATGGGACCACCTACACCTAATTTTGCATGCACTCTGAGGAAATCTTTGGTGACTCAGGGCAAGGCATCTTTGATTAGTTTGCATTGAGAGAATCGGAAGAAGGGGTTCAACCTCCCTTACCACTGTTCTGAGCAAACAGTTTCTTATGGAAGGGTAACACTTTGCTTCACTTGAGGTTAGAAACCAGCCTTTGCCTTCACTGCAAAGGAATTTTTCTCTGTGGCAGCCTGGATTGTTTGGATAGGAAAAACAAGGTTTCTTCCAGGCTAATGCTGGAAGGTTCCTTGTTCTCTTGCCAGGTTTGCATTCCTCCTGTTCTGCAGTAGCCTGAAATACCAACATGTGTTGAGAAAGCTGACTGCAAACAGGTATCATGAGCCATGACACAGCTCCACATTTATCATATATCTGTTGGGCTTCGCCCTAAATGCAGGCAGCAAAGTCTGTTGTTCAGTTTAGTATGGACTGGAGCTCTGTCAGTGCTCTGTCCACAACCAGGGCTGAGTCTGGCCACTAGGACCAAAATTACATGGTGTGGATCTCCAGTGCCCCTCAGGAGGTTCTGGGGAGTTGCCCAGCCTTGGAAGCAAAGGTAGCAGGCAGCAGTCCCCACTGCAGTGCTGTGTGTCTGTCCTCATGCAGTGAGGCACATCTGTCCCTGGCACGTTCAGAGCCAGCCCTCATGGTGGGAGGGACCCTAAGGCAGTGGCTTTGGAAACAGCAGGCTGGGAAAACAGGAGATGCAGAAGGGGCTCTTCTTAGCTTTCCTGACAAGGAGTGTTAGTTATGCAACTGGAAGAGAAGCTTTAGAAAAGGAAAGAAGGTGACCCAACTTACAACATTCATGAAGCATTCCGGGTTGCGACTCCTCTTGCAGCGGCTTGTGTCAACACCTGCAGTGGAGGCTGCTGTGAATCCTGCTGAAAAGGCAATTCCCTGGGAGCAGAGCAGCACGAGGAGGCACCACATCTTGGGGCTGGGTGGAAGAGCACATGCAGGGATGCTTGTGTTAGGAAGAGAGTGGTGTGGAATGCCCCAAGAGCACCCAAGAGCAGAGTCTCCTGAAGGTTGCCTGAGAACTGTTCCCCAGGGACTGCCTGAGTAAGAACCTGTGTGGGGATGGGCTGTCTTAAACTCACCCTGTGTAACAGGTAGGGTTGCAGAACAGGAGTGGGAAGCACCTGGGCATACCATGCAAGAATATGCCTGAGCACTCTGCAGATTACAAGAGAACTGGGCTTGGCAGCCAGGGCCAGCTCTTGGCACGAGCCTAGCAGAAGCTTGACAAAGAAGCACGATCACCTGAGACGATTGTCACCCAGCTTGTCCACCTTTATCTGCTGCCACCCTTCTGCCAGCAGGAGAGGTGAAGGGAGGAGAAAGCACTCTTTGTTTCCTGTCTCCTCAGGAATGAGGTGAAAGAGGTTCAGGATGGGCTCTCTTTAAGCTTGCCCTCTCTTCTTCTGGGACTGAATGCTATTCTTGTGTCTGTCAGTGGTGTACTGGGGGGAGGGACCAGATAATGAGGCTCCTGAAGGGGTCAGGAATAATTCAGGCACTCTGTGAAGAGATTTAGTGGATGTTGGGCAACATGCTTGCATGTTCAGTGCCAGTTTGTGCTTTCCTCATAGGGTGATGTGCCCCAGAACATAATCAGTTCCTCTGAGAATATAGAGCAAACAAGGTGACCATGTGTGGCTCCCCAAAATCGCCATGAGTCAGTTCCTAGTCAGCCTTATCTTCTGGCCACCGGGCAAGCAGCTGTCAGGAGAGAGCAATAGATCCTGAGACTGCCTTTGTGCTACCAAAAGCATGTCTCCAATACCTCTTAAAAATGGTTGTCTATAGTGCAAATCTTGTATTGGTTATGGGGAAGTAAGACCTTGCCCTTTCTTGGGATGATGGATGGTTCCAGATTAGCATTTCTGGATAGAAATTGCAGAGTGCAGTTGATCTAGTACCAGTTTATGCTAACTCCATGTAAAATAGATATGCTGCCAGGTTTTAGTCTTTATTTTCTAGAATCCAGATCAATGAGTGCAGGAACACTGGTCTCTCTGAGCTTCCCAGACTTTTTTGCACAAAAAAGATTGGTCCGGGAAGCTCAGTACTGTGCTTACATATTCAGGAAAAGCCACATCATACATCATACATCAGATTTTTGTTTTATGTTGTGCTTTAATGTGTGAGGAGAGAATGATGCCTCTGAAGAGAAGAATAGTAATCATTCTACATGTTTATAAAGACCATAAAGATCAGGCAAGAGACCTAAATATTCAATAGTAGAATCCATGGAACTTAATGCAGTGTAAGGCTCACTTCAGCTCATTGCAGCACCTTGTAAGAATGCCTCACAGGAGTGGCTGGGGACACCACTGCTCTTGCAGGCTGGGCTTCCTCAGAAGAAGAGGACACGTTTCTATGACCATGGTGTGTTTGTGTTCACCATCCTGTCCATCCTTTAATGGGCTTTTGATGCAATTGTTAAATATCTGCCAAGCCCAGCACTGAGACACAAGCCTGCGCAGTGATGGGGGTTGCAGCAGCTCCTGAGGACAGATTGTCAGGGAAGGACAGGGAACTCCAGGGGGTTCAGCCTTGCTGGGGGAAGGCAGGCAAAGGCAGCTGGGGTTATGCTCAGCAGCAGCCAGCAAGAGAGAGATCGTCAGCGTTTCAGAGTCCATGTAACTTCACAGTAGCCATAGCGTACATGGTTTGTGAGTGAATTTCATGAGACCTTCCTGTCTTACAGTTTTTGTTAGGAAGTTAAGCAGGCTCAGGAGACAACTCTTTTGGAAACCAGGCATTAGACATGGAGAATGCAATTTTTAATGATGAACAGAGGTTCTCATGTAGCCACATGTTTCTTGAGTCTGCTTCTAGCATAAGACATCTGTTATGAGGAGATATGCTGCTCTGTGAAGTTTATTTGTACTCAGGAATGTTCAATATCAAGATCAAGAGAAAATAAGGAACTATTCCCCATCAAGTAGTGGGGAAGAACAGAATTTGTGGGATGACAGAGAGATAAACAAAGAAAATATGTTTTGACTTTTAGTGATCTTCAATTCGGCCTTTAAATTTGACTGAAGAAATTTAAAGAAGTCAAACCTCATGAGTCATCAAACAGTTGAAATGAGGTAGCATTTGGAAACACCCAGAACTTTAAATCTGGCATAAAAACACACTTCATTAAATTCCCTTTGTATATCAAATACTTCTTAATTTTTTTGTCAAAACAGGAAGCCTCACAACTACATACTCAGGCAGTGCAACACTCTGTTTTGCTTTCTGCTATTTTACTCTGTTCTAGTGGGAGCAAAATATGCCTGCCTCTCCCTGCACTGGGAATCTCAATTTGGCAAAAAAAAAGTTCTGCTAATATCTCAACTTGTTTTCACATCACTACCAAAATTAATTGAGGCAATGCAAAGGCTTAATTATTCCTCTTGTTAAGGTAAATGCTCCCCAATGCACTCTGTGATCACCTGGCTCGTCTGGCATGGCTTATGGACTTCCAGGTATTCACCTTTTACTCAGATGCAGGGGGCCAAGTAGCATCAGCCTTGGCAGGCCACTGCTCCCTTTAACTCTAGGAATAAAGACAGGAGACACAAACAGCTATTTTAATCTAGTGAGATCAAGTCATAAGTAACTACTGAGCATGGTAAACTATCATAAAAGAATATGCTTAGTTGGAAAAAAGATCAGAGAGATAAATGCCCTAGAAAGTTCCTCTACATACTTCTAAGATTTACTGAAGCTAAGATGCAAGCCATTCTGAAATTTGTCCTTTTATCCTTGTGCCTTAAGCAGTCTAAAGTTTACTTCATAGAGCTGTAAGGTATAGGCAAACCAACCAGAAGAGCAACTGTGACTAAACATGCATGAGAATTTGCTGCCTTACTCACTAATAAAATGTACACCCGCATTATACAGAAGGAACAGGAGGTCCAGATTACACATTGTTGCAATACTTGCACATTCATTCCCTTGTTCTCAAAGAAAAGAAAACAAGTAGGAAAAAATTAAATAGTTTCTCTTTTTCTCCTTTTTGTGCAGGTCAATTTTTTTTGTCTTCTAGTTTAAGCAGAGAAGCACTTCAGTGCATCACAGCAGACTTACAAATGAGAGGAAAAACTCTGCTTACTTTTACAACCAACTGCACAAAAGCGAGGCAGCACATCATGGAGACAGGAAACAGAAAGAGACCATGAGCATGTATGAACAAGTAACTTACCTCTGCTTTGACTGCCTTGCTTCTGCCTTCTGCCACGGACACTGGTCTGTCTCCAGCAGCAGACTGATTCACTGGCAGAAACCTGCGCCGATAAAAGGAAGTCAAAACAAAATGAGCTCTTCAGGGAAGCAGCTGTGAGTGTCATGAGTTGGCAGCAGGCATTGCAGAGCGTGTTTAAGTGCTGATTTGGCAGTATTTCAGAAGTGGGGAAATCTTTGTGATGAAAAAGATGATCTTGTTTAATTCACCACACCAAAATGCACCATGGATCAGGAGAGTGTAGAGACTACCTATAAATCAGTGGTTAGAATGTTTAGCTGGGACCTGGGTGTTGCAGTTCACTGGGGCTGTGGCAGACCTTGATCTGTACTGTTGCCCAACTGAGGGGCTGCTTCAAATGTAATCTTTTAAGATGAAAAGGAGGAAGTTTTCAGCTTTTCTCAACACAGTGTCTCAAGAACACCATCTCTGCTATTGCTTTTCATTTGGTTTATGTTAACTTTAACATTGCAGACTGACCTAAATCTGTTTTCCAGTGAGCAGTACAACTAATGAAACCCACCTTATTCTGCATTAATTACACTCCAGTGCCAAAGAAGGCTTGAACACATGTAACCTTTTTCCCAGTGAGGGAACAAACAAGGGTTCTTGTTTATCCTAAGCCACTTTCATCACCTCTGAAAACACGGTATCTGGAGATCTTTGCTTAACGGCTCAATTAGCTGTAGCCAGCCTGAGGGCTCAGTCCTCACTGAGATTGGCTGATGACCGTGGGCAGAAGGACTTGTTCCGTGTCCTTGGGCAGCTGGGCTACAAACTGAGTACAATCCTCCTAGATGAGGATCAACCTGTTCAGCCAATTAACTCACAAGTGTCTTCAGGAGAACTTGAGTTTCGTCATGGACTGATGAGCATTTAGAAGAGCACCAGATAAGAGGAATGTGTTCTTGGCAACACCATTGCATAGTATGATGCCTTTGAGTACTGGGGGAAGGAAATGAGTGAAACAACATGATGCCAGCACAGTAGCAGCTCTGCTTTACATACAAAGTAAAGAACATTGTTCGGGATAGTGGGAAAGGTAGTTTGATAATTTCTCAGTGAAAAGCACTATAACTTGACTTCTCTGATATCTGTGACATTAACTACCATCAAACCATAAATTGATCACTCGGACTTCTGCGACATGATGTCTCATCCCTTCTCATGTCCCAAGGTGGGATCAACAGTCCCCATGATGTGTCTAATGCTGTTTGCTCAACCTGCTTTTCCTGCTTTTCTAGAAAATTCAGCTCTCTGCCTCCTCTATGGTGTTGCAGGTTGCAAGATAGCCGTACAATTGCAAACTCCTTTCAAGGTGCCTTTATGGAATGCTCTGTCACTCTCAGGTATGATGCTATTGCATTTAGCATGGAAAGGACTGAAAAGCAGGTCTCATGTCATCATACATTTTCCCTACAAGCAGTGAGTTAGTTGAAAGATTGACTCTCTGAAGGGCATTTGTCTCCAGGAATTTGTATCTGATGGAAGGAATGTCCTTTTCTGGACAGGCACTGTTTTGTTTGGATCAAGCTCTGGTTACACTTGTGAAACAGAAGGAAACAGGAGAGCCTTCAGCAGTGGGCTCAGGAGATGAAAAAGGCCTGTTGTTTCTCTTGGAAGGGAAAGGTGCAGAAGTGGTAACAGCCATGGTTAATTTGTTTGGCCAATGAACCATTACTCAGAGTGAGAC